CATTTTTCATCACACGCCTATGAGTGAGAATATGCGGTGTTTCATTTTCTGTTCTTGTGTCAGTTTGCTGAGGATGACGTTCTCCAGATTCATCCATGTCCCTACAAAAGACACAAACTCATCATTTCTGATTGCTGCATAATATTCCATGGTGTATATGTGCCACATTTTTCCAATCCAGTCTATTATCAATGGGCATTTTGGTTGACTCCAGGTCTTTGCTATTGTAAACAGTGCTGCAATGAACATTCGTGTACATGTGTCCTTATAGTAGAACGATTTATAGTCTTTTGGATATATACCCAGTAATGAGATTGCTGGGTCAAATGGAATTTGTATTTCTAAGGCCTTGAGGAATCGCCACACTGTCTTCCACAATGGTTGAACTAATTTACATTCCCACCAACAGTGTAAAAGTGTTCCTTTTTCTCCACATCCTCTCCAGCATCTGTTGTCTCCAGGTTTTTTAATGATCGCCATTCTAACTGGCGTGAGATGGTATCTCAGTGTTGTTTTGATTTGCATCTCTCTGATGACCAGTGACGATGAGCATTTTTTCATATGCTTGTTGGCCTCATATATGTCTTCTTTCATAAAATGTCTGTTTATATCCTTTGCCCACTTTTGAATGGGCTTGTTTGTTTTTTTCCTGTAAACCTGTTTGAGTTCTTTGTAAATTCTGGATATCAGCCCTTTGTCAGATGGGTAAACTGCAAAAATTTTTTCCCATTCTGTTGGTTGCCGATCCACTCTAGTGACTGTTTCTTTTGCCGTGCAGAAGCTGTGGAGTTTCATTAGGTCCCATTTGTCTATTTTGGCTTTTGTTGCCAATGCTTTTGGTGTTTTGTTCATAAAGTCCTTGCCTACTCCTATGTCCTGGATGGTTTTGCCTAGATTTCCTTCTAGGGTTTTTATCATGCCAGGTCTTATGTTTAAGTCTTTAATCCATCTGGAGTTAATTTTAGTGTAAGGTGTCAGGAAGGGGTCCAGTTTCTGCTTTCTGCACATGGCTAGCCAGTTTTCCCAACACCATTTGTTAAACAGGGAATCCTTTCCCCATTGCTTGTTTTTGTCAGGTTTATCAAAGATTGTATAGTTGTAGATATGTTGTGTTGCCTCCGGTGCCTCTGTTTTGTTCCATTGGTCTATATCTCTGTTTTGGTACCAGTACCATGCTATTTTGATTACTGTAGCCTTGTAGTATAGTTTGAAATCCGGTAGTGTGATGCCCCCTGCTGTGTTCTTTTTGCTTAGAATTGACTTGGCTATGCGGGCTCTCTTTTGGTTCCATATGAAGTTCAAGGTGGCTTTTTCCAGTTCTGTGAAGAAAGTCAATGGTAGCTTGATGGGGATAGCATTGATTCTGTAAATTACTTTGGGCAGTATAGCCATTTTCACGATATTAATTCTTCCTAACCATGAACATGGAATGTTTCTCCATCTGTTTGTGTCCTCTCTGATTTCGTTGAGCAGTGGTTTGTAGTTTTACTTGAAGAGGTCCCTTACATTCCTTGTGAGTTGTATTCCAAGGTATTTTATTCTTTTTGTAGCAATTATGAATGGCAGTTCATTCTTGATTTGGCTTTCTTTAAGTCTGTTATTGGTGTAGACGAATGCTTGTGATTTTTGCACATTGATTTTATATCCTGAGACTTTGCTGAAGTTGCTTATCAGTTTCAGGACTTTTTGGGCTGACGTGATGGGGTCTTGTAGGTATACTATCATGTCATCTGCAAATAGAGACCATTTGGCTTCCACCTTTCCTATTTGAATACCTTTTATTTCTTTTTCTTGCCTGATTGCTGTGGCTAGAACTTCCAGAACTATACTGAATAGGAGTGGTGAAAGAGGGCATCCTTCTCTAGTGCCAGATTTCAAAGGGAATGCTTCCAGTTTTTGCCCAATCAGTATGATATTGGCTGTTGGTTTGTCATAAATAGCTTTTATTACTTTGAGATACGTTCCATCGATACCGAGTTTATTGAGGGTTTTTAGCATAAAGGGCTGTTGAATTTTGTCAAATGACTTCTCTGCGTCAATTGAGATAATCATGTGGTTTTTGTTTTTGGTTCTGTTTATGTGGAGAATTACGTTTATAGATTTGCATATGTTGAACCAGCCTGGCATCCCCGGGATGAATCCTACTTGATCATGATGAATAAGTTTTTTGATTTGCTGTTGCAATCGGCTTGCCAATATTTTATTGAAGATTTTTGCATCTATGTTCATCATGGATATTGGCCTGAAGTTTTCTTTTCTTGTTGGGTCTCTGCCGGGTTTTGATATCAGAATGATGTTGGTCTCATAAAATGATTTGGGAAGTATTCCCTCTTTTTGAATTGTTTGAAATAGTTTTAGAAGGAATGGTACCAGCTCCTCCTTGTGTGTCTGGTAGAATTCGACTGTGAACCCGTCTGGACCTGGGCTTTTTTTGTGTGGTAGGCTCTTAATTGCTGCCTCGACTTCAGACCTTGTTATTGGTCTATTCATAGTTTCAGCTTCCTCCTGGTTTAGGCTTGGGAGGACACAGGAGTTCAGGAATTTATCCATTTCTTTCAGGTTTACTAGTTTATGTGCATAGAGTTGTTTGTAATATTCTCTGACGATGGTTTGAATTTCTGTGGAATCTCTGGTGATTTCCCCTTTATCATTTTTTATTGCATCTATTTGGTTGTTCTCTCTTTTCTTTTTAATCAATCTGGCTAGTGGTCTGTCTATTTTGTTGATCTTTTCAAAAAACCAGCTCTTGGATTTATTGATTTTTTGAAGGGTTTTTCGTGTCTCAATCTCCTTCAGCTCAGCTCTGATCTTAGTTATTTCTTGTCTTCTGCTGGGTTTTGAATTTTTTTGATCTTGCTCCTCTAGCTCTTTCAATTTTGATGATAGGGTGTCATTTTTGGATCTCTCCATTCTTCTGTCTTTGGACAGGAACTTACATCATTGGCCCTCTTATTCTTAGAATTATACCACCAGCTTTCCTGGGTCTCCTGCTTGCAGAAAGCAGATCATGTGATAGCCTCCATAATGAAGAGAGTCAATTCCTTATTATAAATATCTTTATATCTATACATCTGTTCTATCTATTTCTATCTATCTATCTATATACTATTGGTTCTTTTTCTCTGGAGAACCCTGACTAATACAGTGGTTTTTTTTCTTTGTTTGTTTTATAAGAGTATGTTTTCCAGTAGCTTCCTAAGAAAGTGTTTATGGAAAAAAATATTTTTATTGCATCAGTGTCTGAAAATATATTTATCCTATCCTTACATGAAATTACCAGTTTATCTGGATAATTTTTAGTTTCTTCTCTTTATATATATTTGACTTGTAGTATTGCTGTTTGGAATTCTGTTATTCATTTACCTGATATTTTGTGATCTCTCATTTTTTTTTCTTCACGAGATTTTAGAATATCTTCTAATAACTGGTGTTTTGAAACATGTACAATGTGACTTGCTTGGGTTCGTTTATTGAAAAAACTTTCAATGAGAGCCCAGAATAATCTAATAGCATTTCTGGGGAAAAATGTGTTGTATTCCTTTTTTGATAATTTCTTCCCTTTTTGCTTCTCTATTTCTTTGTATATATAATTTCATCTAGTTCTATAACTTTTTATTTTCTATTATAACTTTTTTTGTTAACAACTTTTTAGGATTTTGTGAAGTCTATTTTGGTTTCCTTTTCAAATTTTGGCTAGCATATTTTTTAATTACCAAGAGTCTTAATTACCTTTGATGTTCCATCTTAGAACTCACAATTATTTTTACTATATTTTTTCCCTACAAGATAATTAACAATAGTTAATAGTAGTTTTACTTACTTTTTTATTCTTTGCACAGCAATGTCTTTATTTCATCTAAGTTCTTATTTATTCCTGCTCTTTTCTTTAGTCTTTGGGCTATGTGTAATGAAGTATGCAACAAGTTAATGTAGATCAGAAACTCTGTGCACATGAGAAGGGTTTATTAACTTGTGGGATTCTTATCTGGGTGGTTTGGTGGCAAGCTATTTCTTCTACTGGAATGATACTAAAATGTGTCTGTGTGTGTTGTTTTTGCTTTCAATTTCTTCAAATAAAAGTTGTTTAACTTTATACCTAAAAGGTTGAATCTTTCTAAGTGAGAATTCTAACAGCAGGATGGGAAAGAAAATTGTAGAGTCTAATATTTAATATGTAATTAATTTTTTTTTACTTTGAGAACTGAGCTACCCCTTCATTTTCACTTCGTCTATCTGTTGTCTAAGTCTCCAGCATGAAATATGTCTTTCCTCTCCAACATACAGTAGATGAAAAGGGACTAAAGGCTATGACTTTTCTTGAAGCCCAATTTTCACTGACTCTCTTTATATTTTCTGTCTTAGCACTCTGCTTTCTCTGGACCTCACTCTTGAGTCTATCTGTAATTCTCTCTACACTTGTTCACTGTCCAGTATTTTTTCTCAAACATCTCAATTTTGTTAATTCACTTTCTATTTATTTCCCATATTCAAAAGTTTGTTGTAATCTCTTGTCTACTGTTGTCTCTTCTTGTATCCTTTTTGTTCTTGTTAAACACTCAAAAATTACCTTCATTTTAGTTAAGATTCAAGGGTTAAGAAATAAGCACATATAGGTCAACAACAATGTTAAAATAAAGGAGGCTTTCTGATCCTTTTTCTCAGTAGTCCTTTTGTGGTTCCCAGTTTTCTTTTCCTCTGGATACCACCACTCTTATTAAATAAACTTAACATCATCTTTTTCAATAAATTGACTAATAATACAAACTATTTAAATTGAATAATGCCATTTTTGTCAATGAATGAATTCAACTGAATGTTATCGTGAGTTAGCATTTGATGTAATTATTTAATTAATGAAAATGAAGTATGGCAGTTTTGAGGGACTTGAATACATGTTGATGGATACTGAGGATAAGAACTATGGCTCAAAGCCAGCTCAGGGCAATTCACATTTTCAAATAATTAAATGAAGCATTTTCATTGCTTTTTTTTCCCTTTAGATTTGCATCTTGATTGAAGCAAAGGCATCTGTCTTTTCCCAGATAGCAAGAAGTTTGGTTGCTGTGGCAACATATTGACTAAGGAATTTAAAAATAAGGGTGGCTCATTTCCAAATTGTTTTTCCACCTTTTCTTCATGAAAAAGGCACACACTGGTAAGAAACTTCCACTGGAGTTTTTATAACCAATAAGCCTATTGTTTGTTGAAAGATTAAATCCCCAAACTTGCATGTTAAGTAAGTGAGAATGAGTACATTTGGCTTTCATATACTTTTAAATCATAAAACATGAAACTACCTCATTTTAAACAAGTTTTTTCTCCCTCCCTCCCTTTTTCCTTCCTTTCTTTCTTCCTTCCTCTCTTTTTCCCTCCATCCCCTCCTCCCTCTCTCTATTCCTCCATTCCTCCCTCTCTCTGTCTCCCTCAGTCCCTCTCTCCCTTTCATCCTGTCTCCCTCCTTTACTCTTTCCCTCTCTCCCTCTCTTCTTCCCTCTCTATTTTTGAAATTGTGATGCTGAGGACCTGGGTGAGTACAGAAGGAGGAGGGGAAAAGTCAGTGAAAGAAACTCTTCAAAGGCCTTTACTGAGGCAGACCCTGGTTGCTAGGGCTTGAAAAGATTGTTATTTGTAGCTAAGACAAAGTTATTCTCAAATGCACTCAGCCTTAGAAGTAAACAGGTTCTAAATTTTTTAAGAGAAGTGTGGATTGAATCTTCTGACACATAAAAATAATCTTTTGACACTTTGGGTTGCACATATATTTGTGCATTAAATTCCATAAAATGCTAGGGGAAAGAGAAGGGAGGTAATTTCTTTAAATTGAGGACATATACCTCCAATAACTCACATATTTAAAAACATCTGAATTTTTACAGTATTTCAAAAATTTTGTTTTCTTGTGTCTTGTAGTAATATAGAATTCATCAAAAACAAATCAGCATGATAGCAAAATAAATGTGTGATTCTACTTTAGTTTTATTTATATTTCTAAATATGGAGCCTAGAAATTTGTTTACTTTTCATTTGTTTCACAAATTTTTATAAAATAAAGGATATTTGCTAGATGAATCAGACACTTAAACTTTTTGATACAGAAATTATTTAAACTAGTTATACAATTATTAAGAATTTTGCTAAAGGACTGAGCAGGGATAATTTACACAAAACAAGTAATTTTAACATCACAATAAATTCATTAAGCAAAGGAAACAAAAATGATGTTATCTTTACTAACTGTTAGCTATATGATTTCAGTTAAATATTTAATTTTCAAAGCTATTTGTTGGCCTAGAATAATATAATTAAATAATTATTTTTGGGAACCTTTTTATTTAAAAACCAGCATTTTGACGTAATGATTAAATGTTAACCCAGTGAAAACATAATTTGAATCTTTCTCTTTTTCACCTTTCTGGTAAGGATATAGGTTGTCATAGTGCAATAAAGAATTTGTGGGGCCAGGCTTGGTGGCTCATGTCTGTAATCCCAGCACTTTGGGAGGCCGAGGCGGGTGGGATCACAAGGTCAAGAGATCAAGACCATCCTGGTCAACATGGTGAAACCCCATCTCTACTAAAAATACAAAAAATTAGCTGGGCATGGGGGTGCGTGCCTGTAATCCCAGCTACTCAGGAGGCTGAGGCAGGAGAATTGCCTGAACCCAGGAGGTGGAAATTGCGGTGAGCCGAGATCACACCATTGCACTCCAGCCTGGGTAACAAGAATGAAACTCCGGCTCAAAAAAAAAAATGAATGTGTGGTACCTGGTTAGGGGTTTTTAGGGTAGAGAAGATGGAAATATATTCTTCCCTAGTGCATGAGAGTTGTGGAACACTAAACTCACAAGCTTAATCTCCTCAGTCTCAAAACTATAATTTTTTCCAGGAAGCCCCTTGTGAGTACAAATGATAACAAAAAAGTTTTCTCCAGGCAAAACTTAATGGATATAACAAGAAGATGCTTGGATAAAACACTAATTCCTATCAAAGTTTCTACTATGAAGGAGTTAAGTACAAATTCTTTAGGAGCAGAAATCCCTGGTTATTGAAGGTACAGAGACTATTTATAATGATTTTCGGAAGGTAGAAACAGAATTGACCCATTTATCTCTGGTTTTGCTTTCCTGTCTCTCATTACCTATTGAGGCCTTTCCTCCTTATGTTCTACCTCATAGGCCCAGTGTCTCAGTTCCTTTCTAGAGATCAATGACACAGAGGATCTAGCTTTATTTCTTTCATATTCACCTCATGATATGAATTTCTTCTTAATGATTTTGTTTTTCTTGATTCTTTATGTTATTAGATCAGGGACCAAGCTGGTAAAGTGAAAGATACCAGGGAGATAAGTCAAGAAAACTCACCCACTGAAATATATAGGAGGAAATGTGTCTCTACTAACTAGAGGTTCAGAAGGTCAAAGCCATTTAAAAAGTGCTGAATTCATTCTGTTAGGAAAATTTTCAAAAATTATAATGGAGGAAAACAACAAAACAGTATCTTAAAGGACCTAAACTCTGGTAGCATTGGCATTGGCCATTTTACCAGCCAATCAGCCTCAGAGCATGATGGAAACATTGGTTGGAGGGATACATTGCTGTTTTGAAGACTTCAGGAGACACCAGAGAAGACATCATCATTTCCCCTCTCCATCCTTGAAGGATAGAAGGGAATGGTAATTGATCAGGACTTTATCTGAGTAATGTCAATTCCAAATAATTCTGGCATTTAAAAATTTCCAAGATGTTTTTAATATTTCAAGAAGCTTCATGTAGAAAGAAATTCTTACCTATTTTTAAGTAAAATAGACATACCTAGAGTAGAAAAAAGAAAGACATACACCTGACAACTGACAAAATAAAATCAGTGAATCTATGAGTAAATTATATCACAGTAAGATTACTTTCAAATCAAGTCACATCCTCATTTTTAGTGCTCTATTATATTTATCTTTATTTGCAAAGCTTTTAAAATGGCACTATTTTTAATTGAATTTTTATGTACAAATCTTGTATTTTAAACAAAGGAGAGAATACTTTCACAAATAACTTCTTGCAGATGTCATTTGATGAAGGAGGATTGCTCACAACACTAAAAATAATATTGAAAATAAAGTTTCAAGTTTTGGGGAGATGCCAACACATATCTCCCATCTAGAGGTTATGTTGGTTAATACATATTTGTGATTTCATCCACATTTTAGATAATCATCTGTTTTTTTAATTACTGCTGTTTTTATATGTCTCTAATGTACATGAGCCTTTTGTTTTTTTATTATACCCCAAGTTCTGGGGTACATGTGCGGAGTGTGCAGGTTTGTTACATATGTATGCATGTGCTATGATGGTTTGCTGCATCCATCAACCCATCATCTACATTAGGTATTTCTCCTAATGTTACACCTCCCCTATTCCCCCACCCCTAAAAGGCCCTGGTGTGTGCTGTTCCCCTCCCTGTGTCCATGTGTTCTCATTGTTCAACTCCCACTTATGAGTGAGAACATGCGGTGTTTTTTTTTCTCTTCTTTTGTTAGTTCGGTGAGATGATGGTTTCCACTTTCATCCACGTTTCTGCAAAGGACATGAGCTTATTCTTTTTTGTGGCTGCATAGTATTCCATGGTGTATATGTGCCACATTTTCTTTATCCACTCTATCACTGAGGGACATTTGAGTTGGTTCCAAGTCTTTGCTATTGTGAGTAGTGCTGCAATAAACATACGTATGCATGTGTTCTTATAGTTGGATGAGTTATATTTCTTTGGATATATACCCAGTAATAAGATTGCTGGGTCAAATGATATGTCTGGTTCTAGATCCTTGAGGAATTACCACACTGTCTTCCACAATGGTTGAATAATTTACACTCCCACCAACAGTATAAAAGCATTCCTATTTCTTCACATCCTCTCCAGCATCTGTTGTTTCCTAACTTTTTAATGGTTGCCATTCTAACTTGTGTGACATGGTAATTGTGATGTTAGGGTGTTGATCTTAGATCCTTCCAGCTTTCTTGTGTGGGCCTTTAGTGCACAAATTTCCCTCTAGACACTGCTTTAATGTGTCCCAGAGATCCTGGTATGTTGTTTCTTTGTTCTCATTGTTTTCAAAGAATTTTTTATTTCCGCCTTAATTTTGTTATTTACCCAGTAGTCATTCAGAAGTAGATTGTTCAGTTTCCATGTGGTTGTATGGTTTTGAGTGACTTTCTTTATTTTTCTCTTTTTTTGAGACGGAGTTTCGCTCTTATTACCCAGGCTGGAGTGCAATGGCGAGACCTTGGCTCATCGCAACCTCCGCCCCCTGGGTTCAGGCAATTCTCCTGCCTCGGCCTCCTGAGTAGCTGGGATTACAGGCATGCGCCACCATGCCCAGCTAATTTTTTGTATTTTTAGTAGAGTTGGGGTATCACCATGTTGACCAGGATGGTCTCGATCTTCTGACCTCGTGATCCACCTGCCTCGGCCTCCCAAAGTGCTGGGATTACAGGCTTGAGCCACCACGCCCGGCACTTGAGTGACTTTCTTAATCCTGAGTTCTAATTTGATTTCACTGTGGTATGAAAGACTGTTTCTTATGATTTCCATTCTTTTGCATTTGCTAAGGAGTGTTTTGCTTACAATTATGTAGTCAATTTTAGAATAAGTGCGATGTGGTGCTGAGAAGAATGTCTATTCTGTTGATTTGGGGTGAAGAGTTCTGTAGATGTCTGTTAGATCCTCTTTGTCCATAGCTGAGTTTAAGTCCTGAGTATGTGTGTTAATTTTCTGTCTTGTTGATATGTCTAATATTGAGAGTGGGGTGTTGAATTCTGCCACTATTATCATATGGGAGTCTAAGTCTCTTTGTAGGTGTCAAAGAACTTGCTTTATAAATCTGTTTGCCCCTCAGTACCACATCAAATTTATTCTAAAATTGACCACATAATTGGAAGTAAAACACCCCTGAGCAAATGCAAAAGAATGGAAATCATAACAGTTTCTCAGACCACAGTGCAATCAAATTAGAAGTCAGCATTAAGAAACTCACTCAGAACTGCAGAGCTACATGAAAACTGAACTACCTGCTCTTGATTGACTACTGGGTAAATAATGAAATTAAGGCAGAAATAAATACGTTATTTGAAACCAATGAGAACAAAGACACAAGGTACCAGAATTTCTGTGACACTGCGAAGGCAGTGTTTAGAGGGAAATTTATAGCACTAATTGCTCACATGAGAAAGTGGGAAAGATCTAAAATCAACACTCTTATATCACAATTAAAAGAACTACAGAAATAAGAGCACACAAATTCAAAAGATAGCAGAAGATAAGAAATAAGGAATATCAGGGCAGAACTGAAGGAGATAGAGATATAATAAAACCCTTCAAAAAAATCAATGAATCCAGGAGCTAGTTTTTTGAAAACAATAACAAAATATATAGACCACTTGCCAGACTAAAAAGGAAGAAAATGGAAAATAATCAAATAGATACAATAAAAAATGATAAAGGGGATATTTACCATTGACCCCAAAGAAATATAGACTACCATCAGAGAATACTATAAATGCCTTCATGCAAATAAACTAGAAAATCTAGAAAATGGATAAATTCCTGTATACATAAACCCCCTCCCAAAGACTAAACCACGAAGAAGTCAAATCCCTGAATAGACCAATAAGAAATTCTGAAATTGAGATAATTAATAGCCTACCTACCAAAAAAAAAACCAAAAGCAAAAACAAAAAAAAACCCAGGACGTGACAGATTCACAGGCAAGGTTTACCAGAGGTACAAACAGGAGCTGGTCCCATTCTTTCTGAAGCTATTCCAAAGAACAGAAATAGAGGGAATCTTGCCTAAGTCATTTTATGAGACTAGCATCATCCTGATACCAAAACCTGGCAGAGACACAACAAAAAAAAAAAAAAAAAAAAAGAAAATTTTAGGCCAATATCCCTGATTAATATAGATGAAAAAAAATCTCAATAAACAAACCAAATCCAGTGGCACATTAAAAAGCTTATCCACCACGATTAAGTTGGCTTCATTCCTGGGATGTAAGGCTGGGTCAACATATGCAAATCAATAAACATAATCCATGACATAAACAGAAGCAAAGAGAAAAACCACACGATTATCTCAATAGATGCAGAATAGGCCTTCGATAAAATTCAACACTGCTTCATGGTAAAAACAATAAACTAGGTATTGATGGAACATATCTCAAAATAATAAGAGCTATTTATGACAAACCCACAGCCAATATCATATGGAATGGACAAAAGCTGGAAGCATTCCCTTTGAAAACTAGCACAAGACAAGGATGCCCTTTCTCACCACTCCTATTCAACATAGCATTGAACGTTCTGGCCAGGGCAATCAGGCAAGCGAAAGAAAGAAAGCGAATTCAAATAGCAAGAGAGGAAGTCAGATTATCTCTGTTTGCAGATGACATGATTGTATACTTAGCAAATTCCATCCTCTCTGCCCCAAAACTCCTTAAGCTGATAAGCAACTTCAGCAAATTCTCAGGATACAAAATCAATGTGCAAAAATCACCAGCTTTCCTATACACCAATAATAGACAAACAGAGAGCCAAATCATGAGCTAACTCCCACTCACAATTGCTACCAAGAGAATAAAAAGATCTAGGAATACAACTTATAAGGGATGTGAAGGATATTTTCAGGGAGATCTACAAACCACTCCTCAAGGAAATAAGAGAGGACTCTAATAAAGAGAAAAACTTTCCATGCTCGTGTATAGGAAGAATCAATATCATGAAAATGGCCATACTGCCCAAAGTAATTTATAGATTCAATGCTATTTCCATCAAGCTACCATTGTCTTTCTTCATAGAATTAGAAAAAACTACCTTAAATTTTATATGGAACCAAAAAAGAGCCTGTATAGCCAAGATAATCCTAAGCAAAAGAACGAAGCTGGAGGCATCATGCTACCTGACTTCAAACTATACTGCAAGGCTACAGTAACAAAAACAGCATGAGATTGGTACCAAAACAGATATACAGAGCAATGGAACAGAACAGATGTCTCAGAAATAATACCCCACATCTACAGCCATCTGATCTTCAACAAACCTGACAAAAACAAGCAGTGGGGAAAGGATTCCCTATTTAATAAATGGTATTAGGAAAACTGGCTAACCATATGCAGAAAACTGAAACTGGATCCCTTCCTTAGACTTTATACAAAATTAACATGGATTAAAGATTTAAATGTAAGACCTAAAACCATAAAAAAACTAAAAGAAAACCTAGGCAATACCATTCAGGACATAGGCATGGGGAAAGATTTCATGATTAAAATACCAAAAGCAGTTGCAACAAAAGCCAAAATTGACAAGTGAGATTTAATTAAACTAAAGAGCTTACACATAGCAAAAGAAACTATCATCAGAGTGAACAGGCAACCAACAGAATGGGAGAAATCTTTGCAATCTCTCTATCTGACAAAGGGCTAATATCCAGAATCTACAAGGAACTTAAACAAATTTACAAGAAAAGAAACAAACATCTTCATCAAAAAGTAGGTAAAAGATATGCACACTTTAAAAAAAAAGACATTTATGTAACCAAAAAACATGAAGAAAATCTCGTCATCACCAGTCATTAAAGAAATGCAAATCAAAACCATAAGGAGATACCATCTCATGCCAGTTAAAATATTGATCATTAAAAAGTCAGGAAACAACAGATGCTGGAGAGGATGTGAAGAAATAGGAACACTTTTGGTAAATTAGTTCAACCATTGTGGAAGACAGTGTGGTGATTCCTCAAGGATCTAGAACCAGAAATACCATTTGACCCAGCAATACCATTACTGGGTATATTCACAAAGGATTAGAAATCATTCTGCTGTAAAGACACATGCACATGTATGTTTATTCCAGCACTCTTCACATTAGCAAAGACTTGGAACTAACCTAAATAACCATCAGTGATAGACTGGATAAAGAAAATATGGCACATATACAACATGGAATACTATGCAGCCATAAAAAGAATTAGTTCATGTTCATTACAGGGACATGAATGGAGCTGGAAACCATCATTCTCAGCAAACTAACACAGGAACAGAAAACCAAACACTGCATGTTCTCACTCATAAGTCGAAGTTGAACAATGGGGACATATGGGCAGGGGAGTGGGTAGGAACATCACACACTGGGCCTGTTGAAGGGGCAACGAAAGGGATAGCATTGGGAGAAATACATAATGGAGATGACAGGTTGATGGGTATAGCAAACTACCATGGCACATGTGTATGTATATAACAAACCTGCATGTTCTGCAAATGTATTTCAGAACTTAAAAGTATAATAAAAGTAAAAAATAAAATAAGCCCGTCTACTGCTTTTTCTCACAATAATGCTAATAATATACAGCAAATATCTTAGTTTTTGTGTTTAAGCAGCACAGCCTGAGGCAAGTATAGAGGTAAAGATTTGATGTATTTCGAAGATGCAATTCAAGAGCAATGAAGGGAAGCAAGGAAAGATGAAAAAGAATGGATTTCATGGCATTACTGTGCTGGCAACTGCTCCCCAGTCTTCTGCAGAGGCGTAGAAAGTCCCTCAACAGACCTGTGGTATGCAGGATTTCACTGAAGGTTAAAGAACAGTAGTTAACAGAAGAGAAAAATGAGGAGGGATTTATCTGCTTTACTGTCTCTCATATGAAGTTTCCTATTGTTCCATGCTCACCCCATAGGGACAAACTCCCCTTCACTTTGGAGGCTGCATAGTCCACTCACATGGAGGCTACTTGTGAAGCCAGATAACACACAGAGAAATGCTAAATTTCTTGGAGTCTGGAACCAAAGGAGGCATTTGCCAGTGCTGAGATGCTAATTTATGGGGAGAAAAGCGATAGTCAACAGCACCTGAGAAAGTAAGAAAACCCAAAAGAATTTTGTTTTATATGTTTGATTTCAGTACATACAGAGTTTAGCTTATAGACTTGTGAATGATTACCTAATATTAGCAAATCTCTCAGAGTAAATCATTTCAGGAACAAATTAGAATAAATCAATGCATCTTCATCCCTTGAAACAAAAAAGAATTTGGAAAAACTTGATAGCCTTTCTGCATTTTAAACAAAAGTCCACATAAAGAAAAATAGAAAGTATATAAATATTATGTAAGACTCCTACAAACCAATAGTAATTGGCCTAATAAATACTAATGGTGTAAAGCAAGCTGTACAAATTGAATTGTTTTTGAAGTTATATCTAACTTAGTAATACAAGAAAATGAAGTAATATAAATCAGATATAAAGATTATTTTTAATTTTCTATATTGTTACATCCCTAGAAAAATCTCTTAGAAATATTTTTAAGTTTATCCCTATGTTTACAGGGAGAAAAACTACTAATTATATTTAAAATTTATAAGACATTTACATATTATAGCAGAATACATAAGAAATATGTACAGATCAATAACTTTCCTCTACGGTAGGAATAATCAGTTAGAAATAAAAAAGAAAACATAAAATTTAGACCACTACATTAAGGGCTAATAGTTTATATAGAGTGAGACGCCCTTCAGTATGTTCAAGGCATGGTGACAAAAGTAACTATAGTAAAAAAAAATAACATTTTTCACCAGTCCTGCTAAGGTAAAGAATTGTTGCATTTATTTAGATTTTGTTTACAGTGTTATGCCTAAACAACTTCTTCATGAGAACAAATGTATATATTGAACCTTTATGGATTCTTTTTTGTAGCATTAAGTGTATTAACATCATTTCAAACAGCCGATCACAGGTATAGTGCTTTTTGTTGACCTATACTAAAACATGAATACTGCAAAGCAATCCTAGGGTAGGATGGGGGAATGAAGTAGAGAATGCCTTCACTGCTCTCTGTGAAAAATGAGTCTTCAACGTGATATGTTTTGCTAATTTTTAAAATTTATAGGCCAGAAGAACAGCTTGGATATTTTCATTATATTTATTATTGACTAAGTAGGTATTGAAATAGGATAGTAGCCATAATTACCAATTAATTGATAAAGCCAATAAATTAATACTGATAAAAATAGACTTTTACTTCTTTTAGAGTTTGTTTAGGCATTTTTAATTTCCACTTATACCCTCTCAAATATCTGAATGTTTTAACATTCTTAAATACGGATCCAGTAGAAAACCAGAATCCTGGATTATTGAGCATAGAAAAAAAGAGTATTAAGGAATGAAAAAAATTAAGAGCACATATTAAAAGGTTCACAGCATAATCCCTAGAAGTGTTTAATTTTGAGCACAACTATACTCCGAAGACCCCAGGAAATGATATGCTTTTTCCCACCAGCAATCCAGTCACTTGAGTATTTCTCTCACACCTCCATTGGAAAAAAGAAAGAGAAAAAGAAGACAGGGCATGCAACTTAATATTGTCTTTAGCTAAACCACACAAGGTAGTTTATATTTTGCATAGAAAACCCAAATAATAAGTTAATTTTATTTTTACAAAATTAATTTATTTGTACTACTAATAAAAATAATTATTGATCATTTATGCCAGTCACCATGCTAAACACTTAAACAAAATTGTTTTATTTTAACTCTCCCAGTGACCCAAGATGTTACTGTTTCATTTTACAGATGAGAATAGTGGGGCTTATTGAAGTTGGCTAAGTGTATACATAGTTAGGAAGTGGTGGAAATACGATTCAAGTTTAGATTTAACTCCAAAGTTTTAAGTTCTAAACTACAATGCAATGGCTGCCTTTTGCATGGAAGACTTTTTACTCTAGAGAATTTAAGTCAACACATTTGTTTACACAGTCAAAGATTAAAATTACTGATAAATTGAAATTTTTAATATTGATGGAAATTCACTGTATTGATAAACCTGCCAGAAATAATTTAACAAACTGAGTGACATGTATTAGCTTCTAAAATTGGAGAGAGGTCCATTCTTTATAAGATCTTATTTTTAAAAAAGAAAAAAATCACAATTTTAGGGCAATACTATTAGTGATGGTTAATTAATAATAAAACTAAATTCTCAATTACATAGAAATAGTCTGTCCAACTTAATAAAAAAATTACTGATATATTTTTCTACTGATAGTGTTTAAAAAAAAAGCAGCCCATTTCTTCAATGTCATTTAAATTGCATTTTTATGATAACTTTGAAGCGAAAGTGGAGCTCATGTATTAATATTTGACCCTATGTAAATTAAACTATAAATTAAGTAAATAAATTATTGAATTTTCACCATAGTTATATTTGTTATGAAAGAAAAATAATAATGGATAACTTTTTAAAAAACCAGTGTTCTTGATATTTTGTTACCTCTTGGACACTACCATTCTCAGGAGAGCATTTGTCTTCTTGCACACTAGAAAACTCATAGCCAAAGGAAGGAGAGAAAAGTCATTTACAGCCCTCAAGCTGCAATAGTTGTAGGCTGATATGACATCATTAATAGATCTCCAAATATCTGATTTTTAAAGTAATTCTAACATGCCTTGTATACTGTGAGTATATTTAAGAAATTGATTTGGACAGCTTCAAAATCAAACTTCATGATAAGATGTATAAATCAAGGATAACAGTTATTAATTCTTTGAAAAACCTACAATTAAAAAAAAACTAATAATGTTTTTGGCACAAATTTAGCTAATGTGGCATCATAATTCATTTAGTCAACTGATACTTATGAGCTTTTTGCCCTTTTGTATACTGCACTGCATGATATTTAACTAGGGGTCAAATCTTGATTTTGTGCTTTTCATAAAATAAGTAGACTATATTAAATAGTTGTTTTTAGTGTAAATAACACATTAAGAAAAGATGATGTAATTATAGAGCTGTGTCATTTTCAAGCTACTTTTTCAATTGAATATATTTGTTTCTCTGTGAATCTATTACATTTGAAGCCATTTAAACATATCTATGCTGTTTTTCTTGTTTATTTCTTTATTGCAGTATCTGAAAAATGATAATAACCAAATTAAAATGACTTGTAATTCCAGGCATAAATTAAATGAATGTATAATTGTGAAATGAACTTATCCTTCAGTTTCAGATTCATTGAACTGAAGCGGCTTCTACATTTTTTTAAATGCATCTATTGTTTTAGGAATCTTACTGTTAACTAACTTTCCAGGCTAAGTTTTATTACTTAAGATTTTGTTGCCTTTCCTCTCTGCAGCTGCACTCTGAATTAATGTATTAGTTCAGGCTTATAAATCCCAAATGAAAAGAATGGAATTTTTTTTTTTTTATCATTTGCTTTATGCCAGTTCTCAACCAGAGGCAGTTTCACTCAGGGGATGTTTAATAATGTCTGGAGACATCGTTAATTGTTATTAAAGTTGAGGAAGGAAGAGTTGGTACTGACATGATTGTAAGGTGCTAAACCTCCTACAATGCACATAAGAATTTTCTGCATCAAAAAATGATTTGATAGAAATATCAATAGTTTCCCTGTTGAGAAATCTTTTATATATAATATTCTTGAGTTTTCATTCTAAAATTTAGAAAATGATGTGTTAAATTTAATCATTTTGTCATGATTAGCATGATGAGGAATGACATGAGCCTCAAAAATCAAAGGACTTGCCTGGGAGTAGAAAATGAAAAGATGACAATAACACATGTGAAATAGAAGTTTCAATATGTTGAAATTAAAACTTTCAGGTGTTCTTTAGAGCAGACTATTGGTTGTCTCAACATAACTGAAAGCTAAGTGCACTTAATTCCAATAGTTTGAATCCCATGGTATGTGGAAAGATGAGAAGGAACAGTGTTCACTACACAGGCATATATGTTAAACAAGATCTTAATATTTGTTAAAAAGAAAGAGGGGAGAATTTTATTAAGGCAAGGAGGGAATGTGAACATGATGAAAGGGGTTGAGCATACAGATTAAAGCTATTTGAAATGAAAGTAGGTTTGGGGAGAGATAGTGAGTATTGTTGAGAGAGAGGTCGTCATCTGTAGAAGGATAATCAGAAGAACATATAGCTTATTTGAGGATGGTCTTCCTGTGCTGCTCAAGGTGAGGACTCAAAGACTAAAGAAGAATCAGCTGATTTTTTCTAATTGATGATTTCAGCTCAGAGTGGTGAATGACAGCATTTGAAGGACATTTTGGCAAGTGGCTCAGCATGAAAGAGATAATGGGCATAGTTACATTGATCATGACTGGAAACATGAAAGATTCAATGCAAAAGCAGCTTCCATAACATATTTCTTGCGCAGGTTGGCTTCATGATTTTTATACCCTGAGGCATTCAGAGTAGCTTAAGGTTGCTGGGAAGTTTACATATTTTAGCTATTGTTAAAAAATGTTGACAACTTTATGTGCTGGAAAATGTTTATTGGGTAAAATTCTCCCTGAGTAGTTGAAGAGAATTTTAGATACTTATCTCTTCTGGGCATCATTCAAGCTTTTGATAATGGGGAATGGGGGTACGGTGAAAAGTCCAATTTTAGGAATTAAATCAGAGACTAAAGAAGACAAAGAAACCGAGTGGGTTTATGCTTAGGAAAGTCAGATTTGCTAGCCCCACTCTCAGACAGGAAGAAGAGACCTTAAATTTAGGAAAAGCACAGGATTTGTGATCATACATATAGTACTCCATTCTGAACCAGATTATCCATTGAGGTAGGCCAGCCTTGGCACTTCCTCATACTGGTGGAATGTAACACTGAAATTAGCCTTCAGGTGGTACTCCAGGGGCAGACTGAACCTTGAGAGTGCATGAAATGGGATAGGGTGGTTGGAGAGGTACTGATGACTTTTGAATACCAATTAAGTGCTAGACACTGTCCTGGGCACTTTTTTCATGTTATTGGATTAATGAGATACTTTTTTTAAAGGGACATTTTAATGATGATAAAACTGAGAAGTAGTAAATGGCATTATTTACATGTCTAGCTTTTGGAAAAACTAAGAAACTCATCTCTGAGAAAATAACGCAAAGTCTGACAATGTGTACAGTGTTTGAAGGTCAGCTTTAAAATACTTCTGATAAGTCTGTTTGCCTTTTTTTTCCTTGTCAGGACTTCTACTCATATGGATTACTTCTTAGACTACTAATTATCCAGATACTTGGTTCCTCTTTTTCTCTTTGTAATTTATTATTGATATTTCTCTAGGGCTCACTTGGTTTATGCTCTTTTATTTCTCTCATAGGCATCTCCAAGTTGTCAGGTGATGTCTGGTTTGTGCTATCTCCTTTAGAAAATAAATATTAGATCAACATTCTTCAAGCTTTCACGTGTTCTTCAGGACAAAAATCTTTATTGTTTCGACACAATTGAAAGTGAAGCACACTTAATTTTTCTGTTTATTTATTCCAAAGTGACTTAATCATATAATAAAAGTGTTTCTGCAGTCATTGAATAGTCATTTGACAAACAGGAACAGAAAAAAGACAGAAAGCATACATATTACAGAGTAAGACATATTAGAGCCATCAAGTATTTAAAGATGTGGTGTAAAATATTGCAGTTTCACAGTAAACATAATATTTGTATATAGGTAGCTCCTATTTAAGACAGCTCAAGCTAAGGGATAAATGAATGATCTTATTCCATTTAAGTATATTCTTTTGGTAAAACTCTAAATATGTGATATGTGTTTTATGTAAAAAAATATAACTATTTATTCATACCAGAAAGAAACATGCAATAATTTTAATAATGTAAACACAAAATCTACAAGAGGAGCTAACTATCTGGAGGAGTTTTAAAGAACGTTTATTATTTGTGCACCATATTTTGAAAACTTTTAACATAATTGTTGTTGCAGTAATACAATTGTATTACAAAGTTTACTGATTCACTTACTCTTGGGAAAAACTAATCTAGGCACAAAGTTCTAAATAGAATGGATTAACTTTATGTATTAGTCTCCTCAGGGTGCTATGACAAAAGTAACATAGACTTCGTAGTTAATAAGCATTGTAAATTTGTTTCTCAAAGTTCTGGATGCTATAAATCTGAAATCAAGATGCTGGCAGATTCGAAGTCTGCTGAGGGGCAGCTTCATAGATAGTCATTTTTCATCATAATCTCACATGGCAGGGGAGGGATATCTCCAGAGTCTCTTTAATAAGGGCACTCGTCCCATTTATGAGGGCTCTGCCATCCACATCCCAGATGCCTCACCTCCTAGTACCATGACTTTGAGATCTGGATTTGAACCTAAGAATGTTGAGGAAACACAAATACCCAGTTTATGGCTCTTTATGATATTGTTTTTATCCAGTAAGGACAAGGTATATAATATCTGAGGCAGGCTGGGTTTTAGGGACTCTGCAGGTAGAGCTGGGGACTGTGGTGAAGTCAAAGCAGATGTCTGGCCAATGGTGGCAGTTACTCAATTCCTAATGACTTTTGCCATTTTGAATAGGGAAGCAATGTGACAGATCTCTGCTTTTTCAAGCAAGATCATAGCTTGATTTTTTTAAATGTGAAATCTTCTTATTTTTAAAAGTTGGTTCTAATGAAAACTATGTATGTATTTCCCATTTTCCTTTCTCCTTTATGTGAAAAATAAGTATAATATTTCTAAAATGTAAAATTTTATATCATCTTTCTTCTTGGCAGAGATTATATGTTGTTTTGCAACTTATGATGTCTACTTTCTTAATTTAAATTTATACTTTCCTGAAAACATAAGCAGTATACGTTTGTAGTGAAAAAATACTTAAATGTTTCTGGGCCAAAAAATATAATGTGTGAATACTGAATATGGTATGAAACCTTAGTAATTAGTTCACTTTCAAACTGCTATAAACAACTACCCGAGACTGGGTAATTTACAAAGAAAAGATGATTGATTGACTCATAGTTCTGCATGGCTGGGGAGGCCTCTAAAAACTTCCAGTCATGGCAGAAGGCAAAGAGAAGGGAGTCACGTCTTACAAGGCTGGCTCATGAGGAAAAGAGTGAAAGTGGAGGTGCTACACACTTTTAAATAAACAGAGGTTCTCCATAGGGGCTCAGACTTCTGCCTGAACATCCAGGCATTTTCACAAATCCTCTGAAATCTAGGTGGAGTTTCTCAAAACTCAACTCTCGTCTTCTGCATACTTGCCGGCCCAACACCACTTAGAAGCTTCCAAGGCTTGGGGCTTACACCCTCTGAAGCAATGGCTCAAGCTGTACCTTGGCCCCTTTTATCCATAGCTGGAGCAGCAGCCGCTGGAATGCAGAGTGCCATGTCCCTAGGCTGCACAGATCAGTGGGCCCTGAGCCCAGCCCATTAAACCATTGTTCCCTCCTAAGCCTCTAGGACTGTGATGGGGGTTGGGGGATGGCTGTGAAAATGTCTAAAGTGCCCTGCAGACATTTTCCCTATTGTCTTGGCTACTAACATTTTGCCTCTTTACTTGTGCAAATTTCTGCATCCAGCAGCTTGAATTTCTCCCCAGAAAATGGGTTTTTCTTTTCTACCACATGGTAATGCTGTAAATTTTCCAAACGTTTATGCTCTACTTCCTTTTTAACATAAGTTTCAATTTCATACCATCTCTTTGCAAACACGTATGACTGTATGCTTTCAGGAAAAGTCAGGTCACATTGTGAATGCTTGCTGCTTAGAAATTTCTTCTGCCGGATACCCTAAATCATTTATCTGAAGTTCATAGTTCCACAGATCTCTAGGTCAGGGGCAAAGTGCTGCCAGTCATTTTGCTAAAGCATAGCAAGTCTCACCTTTATTCCAGTTCCCAACAAATTCCTCATCTCTATCTGAGACCACCTCAGCCTGGACTTCATTGACCATATTACTGTCAGCATATTGGTCAAAATCACACAACAAAATTCTAAGAAGTTCTAAACTTTTCCACATCTTTCTGTCTTCTTCTAAGCCCTCCAAACTATTCCAATCTCTTCCCATTACCCAGTGCCAAAGTCACTTCCACATTTTCAGGTATTCTTACAGCAGTGTCCCACTTCTCTCAGTACCAGTTTTTCATATAAGTCTATTTTTATACTTCTATAAAGAATACCTGAAACTGGGTAATTTATAATGAAAAGTGGTTTAATTGACTCACATTTCTACATGGTTATGGAGGCCCCAGGAAACTTAAAATCATGATGGAAAGCATAGGGAAAGCAAGTCATAGGACAGAAAAAGAACAAGGGGGAACTGCCACACTTTTAAACCATCAGATCACATGAAAACTTACTATCACAAGAACAGCATGGGGGAAACTGCCCTCATGATCCTATTACCTCCCACTAGGCCCCTCTCCTGACACATGAGAATTACAATTCAAGATGAGATTTGGGTGGGGACATAGAGCCAAATCATAACAACCTCCATGATAGAAAAAAGTTGGAATTCACATAAAATTTTATCAATAATGATACACTAGAATTTCATTAATTTCTCAAAGTAGTTCACTTTATTGAATCAACTACACTGTTGATTAAAAGTATGCCAAAAAGAATTTTGAAAATTCAAAATGCATCTACCTGCTTCTTTTAAAAATTACTCTTGCAAAACAATGAACAAGAAACACAATAACAAATGACATATTTGTTATAATTTGTCAAGATCTTTAATCCTCCCAAGTTTAAAATGAAAATGAGACAGAAACAGTAAATGATACTACAAAAGATGGTCAAAACTAAATACTTACAGAGAGGGATCAAACTAGTAGCCAATTTATTTCAAAATCATAGAAAATGGAATAGTAAGAATAACAAAGCCTGGAAGAAAAAGCTGGGGAGAAGAACTGGTAACAAGTAGATTATTTGAAATTTTTGTTAGAAGTTAGCCCTTTATGATGGTACCTTTACCATATCTGTTTAGATTGCTTGTATTTTTTCCTTCCCTAGGAGAGATTATATATTTTATCTAGAGAAATTTCATTTGGATTACCATAAAATCAGTTTCTCTCGACGGAGAGGAGGATAGACATAAAAGTCTAAGTAAAATATGAAGTTATATCAATGTCTATATCCTAAACCTTAAGACTGATAGCTTCCTTTCCACACCTATGTCACATTTGCTGTAGCCCAGTAGTACTCCAGACTGAAAATTAAAAGGTCATTCTCTGAGGAAGTTTAATGTCCCAGAGAAAGCGCCTCTACATTCTGATGTTTGGAAATTTTTAAAACATTGGTTGGACAATAACTCATCAGTCTGTTGCCCATTGACAGCATATTCCATACTTTTAGAACTTGTACTCCGCTTTAATTCCTAATTTGTATATATAAGTTGGAAATAAATGGTCACCAGACATATGAGAAAAAAGGGGTCCTATTTCTTCTACTAAATCACATTAGAGTAGAATGCAGAGCATCCTGCTTCCAATGGAGGGCAGATAAATTTTTATTGTACCAATCTCTCATTGACTTAACTATGCACTTTGGACAAAATATTTTTAAAACTATCCAAGGATATTAGAGTGTAGACAAAAGCAAGAAGATACTACAGAAGACTTGGAAGAAAGAATGACACAAAGTAAGTTTCTCATTTTTAAATATCTTTGTGCTAATTTCAGGCTGAAGTCTGCAATACAGGGTAATTACTTAAGTCTATGTTTTAGCAAGTTTTTTTTTTTTTTTGTCTATTTAAAGATTTTTATTTTTAAGGAAAGATTGAGTTGGATGCCCTTCAGTAGAGCCAAGAAGTCCTCTTGGATAAGAATTTGGAAGAAAAAATATATAATGCCCTGTAAAGAAATTGTTATGTTTGTATAGGTATATAAATGATAGAGAAAAGAAGTTAATTTTATGAAAAACTAACTTTATTATTTAATTAAATCAGGTAAACTACTATATATTTATGTGTGTCATACTATTCTCTAAATACTTTACAAATATTAACTCATCTAATTAACCCTCTGAGTTGGACAGTCTTAAATATGCATCTTACACATGAACATATGAAAGTACTGAGAGGTTTAGTAACATCCTCAAGGTCTCCAAACTAGCAAGTGGCAGAGCCCTCATGGGTTCCATTATGAATAGATGATCTAGCCAAATAATACTCCCTTCTCAATTTCTACCATAATGTTAATATATTGTGCATCATGGGGCCATGGCAATGTCTCAGTGCAAAGATTATGAGTAGATTCTCCTTTACTCAAAATTTTGATTTGTGTAGATAAGGCTCGTTTACTTTTTGGCTTCAAAACAACTCAAATTGGAGACATACGACATTGTTAAAGAAAAATGACCCAATAATACTTGCCAAACTATGGTTAGGGAGACTTCATTCAGGACCAAGACGATAGGTATAGGGGCCACTGCAATAGGGTCTTGTGGTTGAGGAGAGTGAGTTCACTTCTGAATATAGTGTGGGCAAGTGAGAATTTATAGACAGGTGCAGACTCAGGGGTTGGTGGACAGAAAATTACTAAGAGGAAACTTCAAGGATAAAGGGGATTCTGGTTAAACTGACCTAAACAGGATTTTTGCTGAAGACAGGCTAGAGTGATCTGGCATTACTTGGCGGATGGAAGATGATGAAGAACCTAATTAAACGTTGAGGATGATCAGATATCAAGGATAGGGCTCTGGAGTTCTTACTAAACTAACTTAACAAGATTCTTTGTTAAAACTGTTTTGCGAGGAAGTATATAGATGGGCTTAGGAGAAATTTCAGAAACATGACTAAAGTATGGCCAAGCAAAGAATCTTTGTTTGCATTTAATTAAAATGCCATTTTCCATGATAGGTCTTATCACAAATATACTCTGCATTCCTTTTATTTATAATCATTTTACACTCAACTTGGATCAGTGACTGGCCTTAGCAGGAGCAAAGGGTTGGGTTCCTGGCAGAGGGCCACATGACCTCTGCTTCCCTGTGCAGACCCAGCAGGCGCTTTGCTAGTACATCTGCAAACAGAGCCCTCTTCTTCCTCTTTCATCTTAGAGCTTGCCAGCCTTTCACAGCTTTCCTTTTCTCAGGCCTTAAAAATATCCCAGATTTCTTTAATTGCTAGTCCCTTTCTGAGAGTCTCTTCCCCACCTCTTCCTGCCTTTTGTCTTTCCTTTTCTGCTTTTTTCTTTTCATCTCTTTCCTCAATACCCTTCACATGGAAACTCAAAGTTACTCCACCACTTGGCCCATTGCCAACTTAGCAGTTCTCAGCAGTGTACTGTAGGTTTCTGGACTGTTTGGTTAAACTGCTTTATTTACATATATATATATTTCACCCCCGACCCCACCTCCCCTCTTGGGAGAGCCCTTTCTGGTGAGAAAAGTCAAGTTTATTTTTGTGAAGGGTTAATGTTTCACAACCTTCTTGGTAATACAAGATTTGTGTCAAACACTTTAACTCATACAAATTCTGTTTCCTTAGCAGGGAGAAAATGAATAAACTAACAAAGGTATCCTATCCCTCATAATAAACACAACATAAAAATCATGTAGTAAATCACAACAAAATTATACAGAGGAGAAAGAGAAAGAAAGAAACTTCAGACTAATTTGGCATTAAAATTATAGATTAACCTTAAGGAAAATTAACCTAAATTTCTGAATGCCTATAATCTAATAAGAAAAGGGTCTACCACCTTTTAAATTTTTCCATATAGTCTCACCTTTTATATATTTTTAACACTAAATTACGTCTGGATGAAAATACACATGCATTCTATTTATATAAATTATTTTTCTCTTTAATTAATTCTTGCAATCTACAATGATAGGCAAGTCAGGTATAATTTTTCTCTTTGTTATTGCACTTAAACTCGTGCAAAAATAGTACAATGTTTTCTTTTTCTTTTTTTTAACTTTACTGAAGTTGGTGGCTTACATCATACTAAGGGGCCCACATGAATATTTGTTTTTAAATTAGGACCATATTCTCAATTCGCTACACAATAAAGGGATTATACATTTAAAAGAACTGTATGCAATCAAGAAGAAATTTTAATTAATCACAAATAGAACTGGCCCAATGGAAATAATTTGACCCGACAGTTTGAGGTTTGATCAGCACAACACAGAGATTAAGAAGACTTTTGACCTGAACAGAGTCGGAGTTGGTTCAGTCTGGAACTTTAGAAAGGGAACACTAATGGGTTCAAATCACACAATATCATTGTTTCCCATAATGCTACCATCCCATTAGCAACCAGTGAGAAACTTGCTTAGTTTTCTGTAGAAACCATCCAGTAGAATATATAGCTCTGGTCCACAATGAAGCAACAGAGATTATGCCACAACAAACTATATTCTTTCTCTCATGTTTTCCATGTGCAGAAACTGAGCCAGCTCCTTTGAAGCACTAATTGACTGTCGGTATCAATTAGGGGCCTGACTGCTTTCTAACTTACATTTATATCTCCACAGTAACCACATTGGTATCTGGGGGAGAATGGGGGTGCTTACTGAAAAGTTCTTAAATATGTACAACATAAAAGAATAACTGAGGTTTTAGAAAAGCTAGTTAGAACAGGGCCCAGCAACTCTTATTTTTTAACAGCATCTTTGTGTTGAAAGCTGAAAGTTTTACTAAAATTGAATTCTTTATTAGAGTAGCAATATCAATATATAAATTAATAGATTATACAGCAAAAATATCAGCCCAGGAGAAAGAAAAACTTAACAAATAGGAGCACTGAGAGTGAAGAACTTCAGTGATGACTTCTGTCATAAGAACAGTGAATAAAGAAATATGACACAGAGTAAAAGGCAAAGTATGTGGTGGGAAGAATTTGACTTTAATGCTAGAGAAACCTGAGTTTACTTCCTGCTTGCCACTTGCTAGCTGGTATAACTTTTAGAAACTGAGTCTTAGTTTTCTTATATGTTAAACTGGGGTATTGATGTCACCTTTGCAGGTCTGTTGGTGAAATTAAGTAAACTAAAGCATATAGAAAACAATGAATCGTTTCTGGTACATAAGAGATGGTCCGTAAATATTAGGTATTATTATCATCATCATGATTTCAGGACCTGGAAAAGAGAAAATACAAGTATAATATAAATAATACCTAACATTGAAAATAAACAAAAAATCCCATCACTCTGAAAAAAAAAAATTGGTAGGCTTATTCTAGTCTTAAATGGACCTAGAGTTTTTATAAGCCAAGATATTTTATAATTATAGTATTTCTTATGAATAAAAAATCTATGGATTGGTGGACTTCCTGAAGTATTACAGGATAAATATTAATAATTAGAAGGGTCACAGATATGTTGCAATGACAGAAAACCTTACACTTACTAATCTATAAGACATGAAATTAGTATAGAATTACAATAAATAGGGATTAAAATATCTTGGATATTTACTATTATAGTATGATATTCTGAGATTGTACATGATATACATCAAAGAATAGTAGAAGATAAACATCATTCAGCCATGAAAATGATAAACAAGGGGCCGGGCATGGTGGTTTAAGCCTGTAATCCCAGCACTTTGGGAGGCCGAGGTGGGTGGATCACGAGGTCAAGAAATCGAGACCATCCTGGTCAACAAGGTGAAACCCCATCTCTACTAAAAATATTTTTTAAAAAAATTAGCTGGGCATGGTGGCACGTGCCTGTAATCCCAGCTACTCAGGAGGCTGAGGCAGGAGAATTGCCTGAACCCAGGAGGCAGAGGTTGCAGTGAGCTGAGATCGCGCCATTGCACTCCAGCCTGGGTAACAAGAACGAAACTCCGTCTCAAAAAAAAAAAAAAAAAAAGATAAACAAATAGCAAACATAGAGATATATATAGTTTCTAGGTTACTAAAATGAAAGGAGTACTGAAATTTTACTGAAAGAAAATTGTGGCCTTTGAACATTGGTTAGTAACAATTTTCATGTTATATTATTAGAGTTTTAAAAAGATAGTTCTTTAGAAAATCTGTAAATGATGCAACAATATTTCATCGTAAAAAATACACAATCATTGCATTCACTCTATGACTAATTAAAAACTTGTGTGACAAGCCTGTTTAATAAAACTTTACATAATCCAAAACAAGATGTATTAGTCTGTTCTTGAACTGCTATAATGAAATACCTGAGACTGGGTAATTTATAAAGAAAAGAGGTTTAATTGGTGCACAGTGCCACAGGCTGTGCACATACTGGAAGCATGTCTGGGGTGGCCCCTGGAAACTTACAATCATGGTGGAAGGCAAATGGGAAGCAGGCACATCTACACATGGCCACAGCAGCAGGAAAAGCGACATGAGATGGCAAATGTGGCACACACTTTTAAACAACCAGATCTTGTGAACACCTACACACTATCATGAGAGCAGCACGAATGGGGAAATCCACCCCTGTGATCCTATTACCTCCCACCAGGCACCACTTCTAACACTGCGGATTACAATTCAGACATGATATTTGGGTGGGGACACAGATCCAAAAACAAACCATATCACAAGATGTTTTTGATCCTGTTGATAGGAAACAACCACAAGATCTCAGTGCAGATTATTTCTTCCCTTCATAATGTTAAACACTTTATTTCAGGGTTATGAAATTAAGCATGCCATTTTCATGTAACAAATTCACAAGTAAAAAGTTACCCTTAGGCCAGGCGCAGTGGCTCAAGCCTGTAATCCCAGCACTTTGGGAGGCCGAGGTGGGTGGATCACGAGGTCAAGAGATCGAGACCATCCTGGTCAACATGGTGAAACCTCGCCTCTACTAAAAATACAAAAAATTAGCTGGGCATGGTGGCGCGTGCCTGTAATCCCAACTACTCAGGAGGCTGAGGCAGGAAAATTGCCTGAACCCAGGAGGCGGAGGTTGCGGTGAGCCGAGATTGCGCCATTGCACTCCAGCTTGGATAACAAGAGCAAAACTCCGTCTCAAAAAAAAAAAAAAAAAAAAAAAGAAAAGAAAAGAAAAGAAAAAAGAAAAAAGTTACCCTTAGTCCTCAATGAGTCACTGGAGAGACTGATATTTTAGAAAGCAAGAGAGAGGTAGGATGTTTAGATATGTGAAGCATAAGACTAAGTGGTAAAAAACATGGATTCTAATCACGGTTCTGACACTCTTTAGGTCTGACACTGGGAAAATCACTTAAACTCTTTGATCGCAATTTCTTCATTCATTAAATTACCGCATTGGACTGTATATTCCCTAAGGTCCTCTCAGATTAGAAATTTTTCTAAATCTGAAATGAATAAATCTTTGGTTACAATCCATTATCCTACCTATGATGAATTTTTATTAATTATAATATACCTGTATAGAGATATGAAATTTATTAGAACTCCTACTGAAAATTAATTCCTAACTTCAAAAATGTTATATTGTTTTTCCCTGCTAAATCCATGCATAGGGTATCAAAGCTTGGAAAAGTGATTTCTCATTAGAAATGAAAGCTTTAGGTTTCTGTAATTCAGATATTTTAGTTAGAAAATTGGTGAAGCCATTCTCCATTCTGATTTCCTTGGCTTTGCCAAAAGAATAAAGAGATTCACGAGGAGGACTTAAGATGGCACTGTGAGAACAACCCAGGATCGGAGCTCGCGTTGAATCCGCAAACAGTCAGAGCTGCATTTCCAGACTGATCTTTGTTGCCCACAGAACGGGGAAACTCCCAAGTATAAAAAAGACACGGGACGCCAGGCAGTAGGTCTGCCTGGCAAAGCCGGCAGCTGGGGCGGCGGCGGCTGGCCCTACCCAGCAATCCCCACAGGGCACGCTTGTCTGGGTGCCCTGTTGAACTGGCAACCTGAGACTTGAGAGGGCTGGACTTGAGACTGAACGAGACTTGGACAGTAGGCCAGCCCAGGGGATTGCAGGAACAGATCGTTTGGGATACCCAGTGGGACGAACAAAACCGCGATTTCAAACTATCCCAAGCAGACGGTCTGAGACGCTCTGTGGGGGAGGGGCGTCCACCACTACTGAGGCAACCCACCCCAACTGAGATACAGGCCCACTGCTGACGCAGCCAGCCGTGGCCGAGGCAACCTTCCCCAACTGAGATACACGCCCACTGCTGACGCAGCCTGCCGTTGCTGAGGCAACATGCTACAACGAAGTGACTCTGCCGCAGGGCGTGGCGGAGACCACAGCAGAGCCTGCAGGAACAGGGCGAATCACACAACAGCAGGGCGGAGCCTTGGCAGGCAAACAGTGGCTAGTCTGCCTTCTAGCTGGGCAGGACACGTCATCGGACATCCAAAAATAAAGCCCAAACCCCTCAACACAGAGCATTTGAGAAAAAAAAAAGGGTTTTTTAATGAGCTCTGTTGCAGCAGAATCAAACATAGCAGCCTAACAGCCCTGAATGAACAACAGAGCGCACAGCTCAGCAATTAAGCCCCTATAAAGTACAAACTGTCTCCTCAAGCAGCTCCCTGACCCCTCTACATCCAAAAGACTGACATTAGGCAGGCATCATCCTGGGACAAAGATAGCAGAAAAAGAAACTGGTAGCATCCCATGCTGTGCCACAGATGCTAGAGGTGCACCCCGGACAAGCAGGGTCTGGAGCGGACCTCAGCAGGCGTACAGCGAAGGGGCTAGACTGGTAGAAGGAAAACCAAGCAACATAAATACTTCATCATCAACACTCTGGGTGTCCACTCGGAGACCCAATCGAAAAGTCAACAAATACGCAGAAGACCAGCGGAAAAATCCACAAAGATGGGAGGAAACCAGCACAAAAAGGAGGAAAACACCCAAAACCAGAACACCTCGCCTCCTAGAAAGGACCAAAACTCCTTACCAGCAAGGGAACAAAGCTGGACGGAGAATGATTGTGACGAAATGACAGAATTAGACTTCAGAAGATGGATAATGAGAAACTTTTGTGAGCTAAAAGATCATGTATTAAATCAATGCAAAGAAACTAAGAACCTTGAAAAAAGATTTGAAAAAAGATTCGAGGAAATGATAACAAGAATGGATAACTTAGAGAGGAATATGAATGAATTGAAGGAGCTGAAAAACACAATACGAGAACTTCGCGAAGCATGTACAAGTTTCAACAGCCGAATTGACCAAGCAGAAGAAAGAATATCTGAAGTCGAAGACCAACTCAATGAAATAAAATGAGAAACCAAGATCAGAGAAAAAAGCGCAAAAAGGAATGAACAAAGTCTCCAAGAAATGTGGGACTATGTGAAAAGACCTAACCTACGTTTGAAAAGTGTACCAGAAGGGGACGAAGAGAATGAATCCAAGCTGGAAAATACTCTTCAGGACATCATCCAGGAAAATTTCCCCCACCTAGCAAGACAGGCCAACACTCAATTGCAGGAAATTCAGAGAACACCACAAAGATATTCTGCAAGAAGAGCAACCCCAAGGCACATAATCGTCAGATTCAACAGGGTTGAAATAAAGGAGAGAATACTAAGGGCAGCCAGAGAGAAAGGTCGGGTCACCCACAAAGGGAAGCCCATCAGACTCACAGCAGATCTCTCGGCAGAAACACTACAAGCCAGAAGAGAGTGGGGGCCAATATTCAACATCCTTAAAGAAAAGAACTTTCAACCCAGTATTTCATATCCAGCCAAACTGAGCTTCAGAAGTGAAGAAAAAATAAAATCCTTTGCGAACAAGCAAGTACTCAGAGATTTTGTCACCACCAGGCCTGCTTTACTAGAGCTCCTAAAAGAGGCACTACACATAGAAAGGATCAACCAGTACCAGCCATTCCAAAATCACACTGAATGCTAAAGAGCTTCAACGTAATAAAGAATCTACAACAACTAACAGGCAAAACAGCCACTTAGCATCAAAATGGCAGTATCAAATTCACACATAACAATATCAACCCTAAATGTAAATGGACTAAATGCACCAATCAAAAGACACAGACTGGCAAATTGGATAAAAATCCAAAACCCATCAGTGTGCTGTATCCAGGAAACCCATCTCACATGCAAGGATACACAAAGGCTCAAAATAAAGGGATGGAGGAAGATTTACCAAGCTAATGGAAAGCAAAAAAAAAGCAGGAGTTGCAATTCTCATCTCTGATAAAATAGACTTTAAAGCAACAAAGATCAAAAGAGACAAAGAAGACCATTACATAATGGTAAAAGGATCAATAAAACAAGAAGAGCTAACGATCCTAAACATATATGGACCCAACACAGGAGCACCCAGATACATAAGGCAAGTTCTTAATGACTTACAAAAGGACATAGACTCCCACACAATAATAGTGGGAGACTTTAACACTCCACTGTCAATACTAGAAAGAACAACCAGACAGAAAATCAACAAGGATATCCAGGGCTTCAACTCAGACCTGGAGCAAGCAAACCTGATAGACATTTACAGAACTCTCCACCCCAAATCCACAGAATGCACATTCTTCTCAGCACCACATCACACCTACTCTAAAATTGACCACATAATTGGAAGTAAAGCACTCCTCAACAAATGCAAAACAACTGAAATCATAACAAACAGCCTCTCAGACCATAGTGCAATCAAGTTAGAACTCAGAATTCAGAAACCGACCCAGAACCGCACAGCTTCATGGAAACTGAACAACTGGCTCTTGAATGTTGACTGGGTAAACAACAAAATGAAGGCAGAAATAAAGAAGTTCTTCGAAACCAATGAGAACGAAGACACAACATGCCAGAACCTCTGGGACACATTTAAAGCATTCTCTAGAGGAAAGTATATAGCAATAAGTGCCCATATGAGGAGAATGGAGAGATCCAAAATTGACACCCTATCGTCAAAATTGAAAGAGCTAGAGGAGCAAGATCAAAAAAA